CCCACACACACACACACTTCATGTGGAGCAATATTTGCCCTTAGCTCGTATATTCTTGAGCCGTAGATGTCACCTGACTTTGTAGAGCAGTTTACTCACTGTGACTTACCTAGAAGAATAAGTCAAGACTTTTTACTTGATTAATCTAGGTATGTTTCTATCTCGCTTTCGCGTGTTCTACATGTAATACAATATCAAAGTCTTTTTTGTTTAACTTTAGTGTAATATTTAGAGGTAAGAGTTTCAGTTTAGTGGCCGTCTGCTTACGTTTACAAACTTTACCACGTCGGATCACCTGACATTAGATCTTTAAATGACTATACTATAACAGTCTTTATTTGCTTGCTTTTAGTTAAACTTAGATTTGTTTAATGCAGTGACCCGTCAATATGCAAGATATCTGTTAACTAGAGCTGGGCGAAGAGTAGATTCCGGAACCGATTCCCGCGATTAAAACTACGGAAGTAAAGCTCTGTCTCCTTTTTACGTAAACCAACGGTTACCAGTTACTAAAATCTTTTTTTTGTTTGTTTTTTTGTTGAAGTTGATGCTTCGTAGTATTCCGAAATCAAGGTTATCCTAAATCTTGAAGATGTTCGGAGCCGACCAGGTAACCACCGGAAGAAATCACGTAATTAGAAAGTAAGTAATTGGGTTCGGAGTCGATTCATACGATTCCTAGCTTTTAATAATCGGGAACCTGGCCGCCCAGCACTACTGTTAACGCAATAATAGCAAACCAATTTTGTAACGTCGTTCAGGTAGGCTGCATTATTTACTACAGCAGTGCTTATAAATAATACAGCTGGATAAGTGAATTATGATTTACAACACTGTGGAAAGAAAAACATTTTTAAATTGACAGTTTGTTTTCTATGATCTTTGGTGTCGAATGAGACCGGCCCTTACGTTCGACCCCTTTTCGCTTCTGAATCTTCTTCTTTTTTTTAGCATCACAAACTGAATAACTAGTGACAATTTTGGTGTTACAGTAACTTATATTATATTATGCTGTGCCCAATCGGGATATTGTTGAATGTGTATTATGCTAATGTTTTCTCTTTTTTTCCCCTTTGTGTACTCTTAAGCACATAGTTGCAAAATGCCGAATAATACAGTGGCATTTACATATTATAGATGATTGTATTGAGGTATATTTTGTGAACAAATATGGAATGTTTTACTTCTATTGATTTTTTTAATTGGGG